ACACACACACACATGAGAATCCGCAGACACACACCTGTCTCTTATACACATCTAGATGTGTATAAGAGACGAGAGAGAGAGAGAGAGAGAGAGAGAGAGAGAGAGAGAGAGAGAGAGAGAGACTGCTGTTGCCACATGGCACTTCGCCTACAAAAAAAAAACGATGAAATAGGGAGGAGGAGAAAGGAGGGGGAGAGAAGAAGACGAAGGGAGGAGGAGGAGGAGGAGGAGAGAAGAAGAGAGGAGGAGGAGGAGGAGGACAAGGATGAGGAGGAGAGAAGAAGACGAACGGAGGAGGAGGAGGAGGAGAGAAGAAGATGAAAGGAGGAGGAGGAGGAGGAGGAGGAGAAGAAGAAGAAGAAGAAAAGGAGGAAAGGAGGAGGAGGAGAAGAAGAAGAAGAAAAAGGAGGAAAGGAGGAGGAGAGGAGAAAAAGACGAAAGGAGGAGGAGGAGGAGGAGAGGAAGAAGGAGAAGAAGAGGAAGAAGAGAGGAGGAGGAGGACAAGGATGAGGAGGAGAGAAGAAGACGAACGGAGGAGGAGGAGGAGGAGAGAAGAAGACGGAAGGAGGAGGAGGAGGAGGAGGAGGAGGAGGAGAAGAAGAAGAAAAGGAGGAAAGGAGGAGGAGGAGAAAAAGAAGAAAAGGAGGAAAGGAGGAGGAGGAGAGGAGAAAAAGACGAAAGGAGGTGGAGGAGGAGAGGAAGAAGGAGAAGAAGAGGAAGGAGGAGGTGGACACGGATTCACCACGATGGCGACAGCAGCTTGACGGGCAGCGAAGATGGGGAGGGCTGCTCGACGGGGAGCGACGACGGCAGCTCAACGAAGACGGGCGGGCTTCGAGACAGCGAGCAGCGGCGATGACGGGCGGGCTTCGAGACGGCAGTGACAGTGGACGGGCTTCGTGACGGCAGCGAAGTGGGGAATACCGTGTTCGAATTCGAACGCGGCGTCCTAGGCGACCAGGGGGGGGGGGAACAAGGTCATTTGTTGGCGGCTCATTGCAACGTAGTCCGAAAACGCGAGGAACTTATGAAGAAGGCCCTCCCGCCGCCTGACCTTCCTCCGGAAATGGAAATGTGAAGTTTCGAAGTGCTCCTGGGGGCCGGGAAGGCTGCCACTGGCTGAAAAAGGCCTACCCCCCCCCCCCCACCACCACCACGCAAAATTGCGCTGGCCCCGCCCGGCGCCAAACCGGGGGACCCAACCGGCCGGACCGTCAGGGACCCCTGCCGGACGAAGGCTGGGCCGCCGGGAGGCCCGGATTTTAACACAGAATTATACAAGCCAAGTTGAAAACAAAATCGGAGATCACACCACTCCAAGAACACACTGAATGCTGAAGTAGCGTGACAATAGAAGCCCTTCTCACCGTCTCCAACACGGAAAGGGCAGACGGCAGCCTGCGCTGGCTGTTAGTCGAGGAAAGGAGGCTTGCTTACTGCTCGAGCATCACATTAATCTGGTGGTGGCCCGCACGGCAACAATCGATACTACAACAGAGTGGTTGGCCCTAGGTATGAGATGCCTGCCTCTCATACCTGCCTATGCTATTCTCCTACACGTACTAGCTTGCAACCTTTCACATTCTTTCACTCTTCTCTCGCTAGATTCACGTAGGTGCCTCTTGGTCAAGGGCTTCTCAGGTGCAGCACTTTGCTTAGTGCACGCCTGCATTTTCTTGGGTAGCTGCCGCCGAGGCCTGCAGCCTGCACAGATGCGTTGGCCTACGCATGTCCTCCTGTGGACCCTTGGCTTGGATCCGTCAACCACACCCAGGCAAACCTGTGTTGCAATACGCCGACGAGACAACATCCGTAAATTTCAGTGGACTGATCTGTGGTGGCCATACGGTGAGAGAGTCCGATTCAGAAGATGCAAGCTGAAGAGGTGATGGCTTTGTGCGCTGTGCACATCACAACTGAAAGGGCTCACTTTGCGAAAAGAAGGAAGAAAAAAAGCAGACAACATGAGACTCACAACCCGTTCTTTCTGCCTTTTTTGCTTATCTCGTTCACGCTGTGGGGATCTCTGTGAGGCTGGGGTAGTTCCTTCGCAGCAGCATCTAGACTGCACTTCCATTCTGTGTTCATGACTACACGACAACGTACGATGTTTGCATATCACAACACTTTACACTCCCGCAGTGAGACAATTCCACCCTCACATAGTCAGGCAAATGTGCTGCAACCGACAGATGAGACAGCCTTTCTAAATTTCGAGTGGTAGACCTGTGTTGATCATGCTGCGAGATGGTCGAATCCAGAGGATGCTAGCTGAAGAGATGATCCCGACTTATGTGCCGCATTATTTTTCCAAAAGGGGGGTAGCCCCTAAGCTTGTTGTGCCTATCTGATTTCATCAGTATTCAAACACATGACATGTTTATTATCAGTTACATGTGCGTACTTCTCAGCTCCCACATGGGTGGGGTGGTTTATGCGCTCCTCAGCACGGTTCGCAGTGGATTCAAATAACCAGGTAAATATCTGTTGCAATGCCTAGACGTAAGAATAGTATGCCACATTGAAAAAAACAAAAAACAAAGACACAGAATGGTATGCCGCTGTGAGTTGGGCACTCAGCTGATGGGACGGTGGGTCTTAACTCAAAACATGAGAACTGAAGAGGTGATCGCTGTGACCTGGCGTTCACACAGCAGCCAGTGCAATAGCTGGACAAGACAGCATTTGTAAGAATGGGATGCCGCTTCTGTTGTGAACACAACTGATCAGAGAGTCAGATGCTGCTCATTGTGCTCGGCATGCGGATGGCTCTGTTGCGATTCACTTACAGATTTTTGTTTTTGCATGATTTCTGTGCAGGAGATGTCAAATGAGATACTGAGAGCTAGCTTAGATTCTAGGAAGCAGGCACTAAGGGAACAGCGACTAATCTATGAGGAAGATGTGAGTTATCTTGCTCCACAAGCTTTTGTGTCTCCCTCTGTGTTGTTAATACAGAACGTGCCTTTGCGGTGGTGTGCATTTTCTGAACTGTGTCGTGGGACGTATGATGAAGATGTTTGAGGGATCTTCTGCTTGATGTATTGGCTTGCTGTCTTATGCCTTCATGAGTTGTGTGCGTCTTTTTCTTCTTTTTCTTTTTCAATTTCTGTATGGTGATGGGTGTGTTTTTGGGATCTGTTGTCTCTGGATGCCGGTTTTCTGCGCTTAGTATTATCCTGGAGTAGTGTGCGTCATCTGAATAGTGATGAACGTGTTTATGGACTCGGCGTAAATCCTACCTGTGAACTTCGAATATGTAACTGCCGAGTTTGTCGGAGATTTGGCCGTTGCCTTTTCAGAGGCGGAGCTTGTCAAATGTTCTCAGGGATTATTGCATCTGTACATATGCTGGTCGGTCGCCTGGCCGGGCATGCCCGGCCAGGCACACCCATGCCGGGTGGGGCAGGGGAGGACTCGCCTGGGAAAACCGGGCGGGTCAGAATAGAGGTAAGGATCCCCCCCCAAAAAAAATCTTACAGGACTGCACTTGGCCCATCAAAAAGGCTCGGTCCTGGGACCGGAGGGGAGGCACAGCGACTGGCCCATCAAAAAGGCTCGGTCCTGGGACCGGAGGGGAGGCACAGCGACTGGCCCATCGAAGAGGCTCGGTCCTGATGCCACCGGATGACCCCTCCCTGGTATCACCCACCTTCTGTAGCAGGTATTGCACCGGCTGGTGGATGCAGCTCCCGCATGTTCCCTCGTTGGAGGCTTGAACATGGATGTGGCTGCTACAAGGTTCCCCGACATATTATAATGACAATATAAAAGCTTTAAAAAGGCCTGAAAGGTCGTCATCCTGTCCAGATGCGACAGGTAATTGAATTGGTTAGTTAGCCTTCAAAAAAAGAAAAAAGGGGAAATCTTCCAAAATTCAAAATTGTAACAAAATTGTTTATAATTTAAATTTACACTGTGTTTTGTTTTTCTTGGAATATTTACTTATTTGAAGTTATTTAAAGTATTTTAAGTTATTTATTAATATTATCATATTATTATGTGCTGGGACTACCTGGGACTCTGCCTGGCTGGGCCAGCCCAGCTGTGTACCCGCTTGAAAGATGGGAATTGCTTGTGCGCCCATGTAGAATGCCCGTCTTCCATCTACCCCTGGGACCCGTTCAACTTTTCCTTATACTCCGTCTTACTGTTGTACCTGGTCGCAGGCCCTCAGTTCAGGGACCAGCAAACTTTGGTAAACCCAGCTACAGGTGGTCCTCTCTCTCTCTCTCTCTCTCTCTCTCTCTC